AATTATAATTACAATCAATTTCTAATATTTTTTAACTATTTCTTTATCAGTCTGCTCTTATCTTAACTTCTTTAGATAGGTAAGTATTTCAAAGTTTTCATTCCATTTTAGTTGAAAAAAGTACATTCTTTTACTTTAATATTAGAACAATCTATGATAAGTCTAGGCAAATGGAATATTTAATTTATTGATACTTAAACTGAAAATGATACATGATATTATTATAAGAGAATAGAGAGCACAACGAAGAAACTATAATATTCTTTTAATTTGATTTGTTTCGTTTATTTTTTCACCAACAATGGTTGTGTTTTCCAAAAATAAAAAAACCAAATTCGATATCCAAACATTAATGTTGAAAGAATTTTTTTTTTTAACGCTAAAATGAATATTTGACTAATTCTTAAAATTGGCCCTCCAAATAGAGGGATAAGTCATTTTTCAACCTTTTACTAAGTCCTTGCTATACTATTGACATTAGAGTCAATATTATGTCCGTCTTAGCCACTCATAGTAATTTAAATAGGAATTCAGCTTTAGTCTTAAATTTTTGATTTACTCTTCTTGATTACATATATAATACCGTATTCTTAATGGAGATTTTTAAAGGCCATCTAAAACTATCATGTATTTACAATAAAAATGTTTATTATTTACATTTTTAGTATTTTTTGCATTTATATATCAAAAATCAATATTTGTTTTAAAAGAAAGCACATAAAATAATTTTATTAAATCAAAATTTAGAATTTAAAAGTTAGATTAAAAAAAAATAGTACACTACTAGTGGAAAAATGTATAGTAGTATGAGCTAATTTTAATGATTTAAAAATTCCATTAGATAATTTTTTAGATTATTTATTTGATGATAAACTATAAATTAATAATTTATTTGACGTTAATTCTTAGAAATAGAGTGTTTAGAACTATTCAATATTTTATCCTTTTAAGTATAAATTTAATGAGGAATAAACAAATATGTTCGATATTTCCCCAATAAATAATTATTTTAATTGAAAAAAATATGAATCTCTAAATAGCTATTTTAAAAATAAATCTCAATATTATAATTTAAAAAGATTATCAAAATTAATTATTTCTTTAGAAAATTGTAATAAGTAATCTATTTTATTCTTTTAATACTTTAAGTAGATATTAATTTTAATATAATTGTTTTATTGAAATAGATGCATAAACACGATATTATTATAATTTGTTACCAATCTTTTAAACTGATTTAAAAAAGAGTTTGTTAATGAATTAAAGATTTAATTGAAAACAAATTTTATAACAATAAATAAATTTCAACATTTTTTAATATTATGTAATTTTCAGAGGTCTTGTTAAGATTTTTCTGCATGATTAGCATCTCTTATTAAACATTAAACATAAACACTTATGGCCTCATGATCTTACATAGGATAGTTAATAATCAATTCATAAGCAATTCTTGGAGTATGATACAAATTAAAAAAAAATGAATAAAAAATAGATATTCTTTTAATTTCAAATAAAAACCCAAAAAATATTTATTTTGAAAAATGGATTCTAATATGTGAGCATTTAATTTCCATTATTTCTTGAACCTGGAGGGGCATTAATGAAATGAATGTGACTTACATTTTCCAAATTAATCCTTAGATAAAAATCATCTATAGTCAGTAGGATTTTTGAAATTTTTTAGGCTGTTTCTTTCAGATCTCAATCTGCTTTGAGAACCTCTCATTAAATTATAATTGTTCAAACTTTTCTTCAGTTACAATTTATAGTTATTAGTAGCAGAAGTCAAAATGGATTAAGATTTGTAATGAAAAATCTTATTATTGGAAAGTGATCATAAAATCTAATATTATGACAACTAGGCCTTTCTAACAATATCTTTCATTAAAATATTAAACTTAGAAATAAATTTTAATATTAAAGCATATACTCTAAATAATATAAATAATTAGAAATACTTTTCTAAAATAGTTTGCTTAACACTAGATTTTAGAATTTATATTTTAGAAAAATCAAATTAGCAAGAAATAAAAATAGTTTATTCTANATTTCCCCAATAAATAATTATTTTAATTGAAAAAAATATGAATCTCTAAATAGCTATTTTAAAAATAAATCTCAATATTATAATTTAAAAAGATTATCAAAATTAATTATTTCTTTAGAAAATTGTAATAAGTAATCTATTTTATTCTTTTAATACTTTAAGTAGATATTAATTTTAATATAATTGTTTTATTGAAATAGATGCATAAACACGATATTATTATAATTTGTTACCAATCTTTTAAACTGATTTAAAAAAGAGTTTGTTAATGAATTAAAGATTTAATTGAAAACAAATTTTATAACAATAAATAAATTTCAACATTTTTTAATATTATGTAATTTTCAGAGGTCTTGTTAAGATTTTTCTGCATGATTAGCATCTCTTATTAAACATTAAACATAAACACTTATGGCCTCATGATCTTACATAGGATAGTTAATAATCAATTCATAAGCAATTCTTGGAGTATGATACAAATTAAAAAAAAATGAATAAAAAATAGATATTCTTTTAATTTCAAATAAAAACCCAAAAAATATTTATTTTGAAAAATGGATTCTAATATGTGAGCATTTAATTTCCATTATTTCTTGAACCTGGAGGGGCATTAATGAAATGAATGTGACTTACATTTTCCAAATTAATCCTTAGATAAAAATCATCTATAGTCAGTAGGATTTTTGAAATTTTTTAGGCTGTTTCTTTCAGATCTCAATCTGCTTTGAGAACCTCTCATTAAATTATAATTGTTCAAACTTTTCTTCAGTTACAATTTATAGTTATTAGTAGCAGAAGTCAAAATGGATTAAGATTTGTAATGAAAAATCTTATTATTGGAAAGTGATCATAAAATCTAATATTATGACAACTAGGCCTTTCTAACAATATCTTTCATTAAAATATTAAACTTAGAAATAAATTTTAATATTAAAGCATATACTCTAAATAATATAAATAATTAGAAATACTTTTCTAAAATAGTTTGCTTAACACTAGATTTTAGAATTTATATTTTAGAAAAATCAAATTAGCAAGAAATAAAAATAGTTTATTCTACTTCTATATTAATATATAAGCTTCATTAACAAGTATAATTTAATCTCTGAAATTAATATATGAAACAAACAAAATTAAATATTAATAATTAATGCTATTCTTCAAAGTAAGACAAAGATTTATCCTTTTGGAAACGACCAAATGCAATTAAAAAAAATTAGCTAAAAATAAACTCCTTTTAAAGCTTCTCTTGTATTTTAAGTGCTATTTAATTATAGGATTCTAACAGCTGCTAATAGATTATTATCCGGTAATATCAGTGATCTAGATATTTAATTCACCTAATTAGCGGGCTCACCTATTTTAAGTATTTTGTCTTATAAAATTTGAAAATTAAAATTTTTTTGATTAATTTTGCAATTCTGAAGAATAATTGGAATAGTCAATGTCTATTTTTTGCCTATTTTTTCAAATAGCATGATAAAATTTTTGATGATGTAAATTAATTTTTTATGAGCAATTTTCTAGATATCTATTCATATCTGAATTATTTAAAAAAAAAGAGAAGTAATAGAAAATGATTAGTAGATAATTTAATGAAATCAGATCTTAATCTTAGAGGTTGAATCAAAAGGATGTAAGAATAAAAAGTAAAAATGATTAGTGTGATAATTATTTGTTTAATAATTTAAAAGTTCCAAATTTGAGATAAACTAATTTTTGATTTATTTTCATATTTAGTTATAGAATGAAGCATCTAAGGTTATTATTAGGCTATGACAAATACTTTTTTCCATAAAACTACAAATGATATGAGGTTATATTAAGGAATTAATAAATTCACTTTGATGACTATTTTAATAATAATAATAAGGTATATGAAGATTGAATTAACAGTTATAATTGTTTAAATGTTAATTTAAATATCTAATTAGAATTGTATCAGATAATCAAACAACTTAAATTATTTATTGAAGAGAAATCACTAGAATGTATTATCTTATTAATCAGGAGCATTAATTTCATCAAAAAATGTTAATTACTTTTAATACTAGAATGATGGGGTTTGTCTAAGAGATGGATTTATAAAACAAGGCCAGTTGGAGCACCATATACCTCATGTGGATTAGGGAAATAAATTTCCATAACACTGCTCTAAAAGTATTTATTGAATACATTAAAAATTTGGTTTTGGGATTATGACTTTCTTTATAACGAAAGTACCAGACATTTCGATATCGTTGTTTATGCTAAATTAGATTAAGGAAAAAATAAAATTTATGAGAATAAATTCGCAATAAGTCTCATGACTATAGAATTTGATGATTAGTTTGTTGAAGAATTTTAAGTAGTAAATGTAGGAGGAAATACTCACAATGGAAATTTAAATATCATTAAAGTTGAAGCCTATTATAAATTTTCATGAGTTCTAAAATTGATTTTTAATTATTTTCAATAAATTGTTCCATCTATAAAGCTAAAATTTTATGATTAAATGAATCAAATATATATGATAAATAATAAATTGGCAGATTCAATACATCTATAAATATATAATTAATATAATCTTTCAGATATTATGATATTCAAAATATAATTATAAATATGTTTAAATTTCTATTTAAAAAATAATCTAAGATTAATACTTAGATCAAATTATTTTCAATAAATAAATAAAGCCTAATTTAGGAATAATAATAATATAAAAAATTGAGATAAAATTATGAATAGAAAAACTAATAATTATGCTTAGTTGCTTCTAACAATATTATCATTTTGATTAATCGTTATTTGAAAGTAAAATCTGAACCTTTTTATAAAGTTTTTGAGTTATGAATACGGCAATTCCAATCACAAATGATGTAGTTGATAATTTTATCAAACTCAAAATTATCATGCTTAAAATGATTTAATTTGAAATAGGATTTAGAAATACAATTATTTCTTTATATATATATATATATATTTATGAATAATATCTAATAAATTAGTCAATTTCTTTGATTAATTTATTTCAATTATTTAAGATAAAATAATCTATTTTTACTTAGGGTATTAAGTAATTCATATATTTCTAAAAGGAGAACTTAAATTTAATGTATAATTTAACTCTCTTATTCTTCAATTTTTTTCCATCCTTTTTTTCAATAAATAACTATAAAAATAAACATCAAAAAGCTGGATTGAAAATTTTATTCAAATTAATTATATTTTTGATACCCAAATATAAAATAAATACAGTTAAATTTAGATTTTCACATAATCAATAAAGTGCTGACTCCAAAAATATTCTCTAAATTATTTCAAACATTATCAACCCTTTTAAAATGAAAAAATAATATTTAATAAAAATGGCAACTCAAAAATGATTTCATAAATAAATTTATAATTTTATTCTTACATCATGCTAAAAGTAAGATTTATAAGATACTATTAATACAAATAACTAGTTGCTTAAAATAATTAATTTGATAATTATAATCTAACCTTTAATGAAATCTAAGAAGATTGGGAAAATTAATGTTATTTCTAATTACGATCATATGAATAATTCAAAGAAAAATATTAACTTTCATCAATTTATGTTATGATGTAATATAAGCATAAGATATAATTACAATTATCAATAAAAAGATACTAACTGAAGATTACAAAAATAAGTTATCATTTCTTGATACTCAATATAGTATGATAATGAGAAAAAAATCTATTTATTGGATTATCTTAATAATCAAAAGTAAACCATCCTACATCATGATCCCATCTTAGTTTTTGGAAGGAAAAGATTAAATCTAGTAATTTTTTTATTTATTTACGATCCAGTGAAATTATCTTTATTTCTCAAAACTTATTATGCGAGTCTGATGTAAATCTTCCACAGTCCATTATGTAAAAACGAGAGGTATAGTTTCAATCATTATTAATATTAAATTTTTAAATCTCATTTTAGTAGGAGCCAATTAATAAATACTACCATATCAATAAATATTAATGATTTTGTAAAGCGAATTAAATGCATAAAGAAAATGAATAACTTTTTGTAAATGTAATAAAATTATTAATTTCAATTTTTTTTTTATTTATAATTTAAACCAAAGATGATATGCATTATTGTTTATCGTAACTCCCCTATTAACTATTCAATAGATTAATTAATTCAATATTCAATAATATTCAATAGGAATAATAAAAAGAACTTTATTATATTACTTTGATAAAATATGAGCTTAAATCATTAAATTTTCAATCCTTAACGTTTTTTGCTTTGTTCTTGTTCAATCAACGTACCTTTTTTTTTATGTATTGGGTTCCTTATTCCATTTAAATCTTGTGAATAGATTGTTTTATTATTTTATAAACTAATTTTTCTTTAATCTTGAATCTCTCTTCAATTTAAATTCCAATCCAGAATAAAAATAGAATATAATATAAAAGAAATTAAAAAAAATTATTGACTTTTAATATCAATTAAAATTATTCAATTATAATTATCTTATTTCAGATTATTTTTGAGTGTGAATAATTATATATTCTCCTTAATTACTTATGCTAAATCTCTTTGAAAAGTAGCTAACTGGATTATCTGAAAAATAAGCAGAAATAAAATATTTATTCTCTTCTATTCCAACAGTAGACTATATTTCATTAAAATCAATCATAATTTCATTTTATCTAAAAGTTATATGTTAGATTTTATTATTTTAGTTATCATTCTCCTTCTCGAATTAATTATTGTTTATATTGAATTTATAAGACTTTAGATTCCTTTTTGGATCTGCAATAATAATAACTTTATGTTAACTAATATAACAAATTGAATTAAGCATCATTATTGGAATTTTTTATATACATTCCCAAGTGACTTGAATCTCATTTTACTTTTTTTAATAAATACATAGTAGACCATCACCATCTTTCCAGAAATCAGCTTTACAAATTAGTATATTTCTGTATTCTTATATGTGTACATTTGAGCAATGTTAATAGCATTCTTCATACCAAATATATTTCCAAGTTGAATTTTGTTTTTGAAATATTAAAATACCATCTCCATACTCAATTAATAAATCTTCATTTTTATTCAAAAGAAATGATTGGAATCTACCACGTTAAAAGCATTTATTTATAGTTAATATTTTATAATTATTCATTCCTATAAATGATGATATACATCTCTTATTCTAATTCATAAAAATGAATTAATCTGACTTTTTCATACTATAAAGTGCTCCAATGTTATTTCCATAAAGAGTTAAAATTTATATTAAATGAGCATTTTGAAACTAAAAAACTTTAATTTAAGTATCAGTTGACAATAATAATAGATTAGATGTTTTATTAAAAAGTGAATTTAACCATTTTTAGGATTAGACCTCTTTAATTATGCATATTTATTGATAATTGAATAGTTATTCATTAAGATCCTATTTTATTAATTCCTTTTTATATTTCCGTTAAAATTGAGACATTAACTTATGAAGAAAAGTGATCATCAAATATAATTTATAAACTTCAAAGTTTATATTTTGTGAATTTTATATTTAGAATGAATACTTTATATTCAAGCAAATTAAAATAAATCATTAGAACAATATAGTGTTTTTTCTTATTTCACCTCAATTAGACAAAGATTTTGTATAAATTATTTCATCTGTATAATCTTAAATTAAGATTATGGATATTGAGAAACAAAATTTATTAATATATAAAAACAGTCATCCAAATTGATAAAATCTATATAATCATAATAAAATAATTTGATTTAAAGTATTTATTAAAAAAATATTATTGAAATGTAAGGATAAACAAGAATAATGATTTACTTTTATTACTACTAATAATTAATTCATTTTGTATCAATAATAGTCTTTACTCCAAGTAATTCAACTCATCAAAAAATTTGATAAGAATTTATTTGTCCTTAATTTTATAGATAACAATTTAAATTGAAGCCAAACAAATACTAAAATACTCTATGAATAGAATAAAGATAAAGATTTAATATTTAAACTTGATTCAATCTTTACTAATAATTTGTTTTAATATTTCATAAGAGGTGATAATAAGTTACATATATTTTGTAAATAGAAATTAATTATATGAAAAAATATATGAAGGAAATGAATATTAATACATATTTTATCATCAATTAAAGTATAATTTATATCCAGTTATATGATGACTGAAATGTAATTTAACTTAAAATTGTTAAATATCAACTCTTGAAAGATTATTTTTTGAAATACAAATCAATTTTGAAATTATTTATTAAAGAATTCAAAATAATGATGAAATTCCTTAGAAAAAGAGAATAACATAATTAATATCTAATAATATATAATTTTTGATTATTTTTTGATTATAATAATCATTTATAAGGATATTACTAAAATACTTAAAATTTAATCCACTTTAGTAATTATTTAAGTTCATTAAAGGGATCAATATTGAATTTTAATGTTTTCTAGAACTCTAAGGTCCTACATTTCTACATTTAATATTGATCCATTTTAAAATGAATTAAACAGAAAAAGACCTAAATCTTTATTATTCTAGTATAATCCAAAATTGACAGGAAATTTAATTCGATTTAAAGATTGAGCTTCAATTATAAAATAGAATACTTGTGTAATTAAGTGAAAAGTTTTTCAGATTATCCATTTATAGCTTTTGGACAATCTGCTAAGAAGATTCTAAACAATGTATTTTTGAAACTTATCTTTTTTGAAAGCAAATTTCAAAATTTAAATTATAAATGAACCTTCCTTATGTTTTTTTGAAATAGATTGATTTTCAATACTTTTCATGCCCTTCTAGAGTTTGGCTTAGAAAAATAATAAATAATACTCTTATTTGATGACCAACCTTTGATATCTCCCAGCCTATTAATAAATATATAAAAAATATTGAAATCATTTTTAACTGTATTAAAATTTGAACTCATATTTAATTATATATATATATTATCATTATTTCTATCAAGACTACAATTTTTTTTTTCCTTTAATAATTATATATTTCTAATTTCTAAACTTAATCTAAAGAATGATTATTTTAAACACTTATTCCACAATTACTTATCAACATTAAACAACTATAGAAAATATCAGATGTATTAACAGTGTTATAAGATGTCTAAAGTTTAGAATTAATATAATATTGTACTTCTATGTTCCATAATTATTTGTTTACATCTTTTATATGTATTTAATCTAAAATTTTTATGAATTGAACATTTTCTACATTTTTTTTTTTATCATAAGCCATTTCGACTTTATTAATTATTAAGTAAATAGAGAAGTGCAAACACAACCTCCACATTTTAATTTTATTAACTTGATTTCAGTTAATAAATATACATAAAGTTACAATTAGGTTGAAAAGTAAAGAAGTAATCAAAATTAAACCATTATGTTAATCAATATTATTCTATTCTCTAAATTAAATCCAATTATCATCAATATTTATATAATTAATAATTTCTTATTTTAACCACATGTTATTAATTTATTTTAATATAGCCGAAATGCTCAATTATACCAAAATTAAATTAGTTATTAAATTTTAATAATGCTTTCATCAAAAATAATTTTGAAATTGGTTATGTAGCACTATGGAATTTGGCTCAATTTTGTAATCAAATTTGAAATAAATAATAAAAGATTAGGACTGAGGATTGTAGCTAAATTTGCATAAGGATTGACAGAATCTTAAAATAATTAACTAATCATACGATAGATAAAAAATTAAGGAACTTAAGTCTTATTTCAAGCAGCTTAATTAGAATATCCATCAATAATCTTCTAATTTATTTACTTAAAATATTGGAAAATTTAATTAATCAGAGAGATTATATGTTTAATAATATAAAAATTGATGAAAAGGGAATTAAATAAGAAATAAATCATTCTCTAAATTAGGATGATGAAGAAAATTAAGATTAATAAGCCCACATATAGGTTGAATGATTTTGAAATTCAATAAGAAATCTTATTACTATCAGTGTTGAATACTTTCCTCAAAAAATTTATATCATCCTGGAAAATTTAGATCTTTCTAAAACATTTATAAAAAAAATTGGTTTGCTAAAATTTTTATTCAGGTTTTAATAGTTAATGATATATCAAAATGACTTTGAAAATGATTCTTAAATAATATATCTTTGAAGCAGTTCCTGTTGTTGCTGGATTTCAAGCACTTAAAAATCTTAATGTTAAATTTTTATAAAATTTTAAAACCTATCAACTAATTTTCATGAATATTGAAATGTCTGGGATGGATTTTAAACAAATAAGCAAGTAAATTTTATTTAAACTAATTAATCAGATTTTAAAATTGGCATAAAATAATCGAAAATTATGATTTATTCTGTATATGATACATAAGAAAATTATATAATAGTTTCCATATGAGGTTTAGGTACAATAGAGATTAAAAAATGGATTATGGATTAAATTTAGAGATTATTTTTAGGAGAACTAGATTATTCATTCATACATATTAGATATTATTATGTAGTTTATAAGGCGAACATAAGGATGGCAGATAATTGGGCTAAAAGAACAAAAATTAGGTTGGGCTGAATTTTGTTTTTAAGAGAATATTTAAGTAATATGTATTGGAAAATATAAAAATGATTTTAAATATAGAAAAATCCCCAAGATGCATGAAGGATTTGAAAAAAAATTTTAAAGTAAAAATTAATTTACAGAAAAGCAATATTATTATTGATATTAAATTCAAATAGTAAGATATAATAGATAAAAGTAATTCTCGAATATCTTTAATAAAGTAATTTAATTTGCTTATAATTTATGCAAGAAAATAAAATCTTTAAAAATGTCACAAATTTCAGTAAGTTTTATTCATTCAAACTTTTGCTAAATTAAAAATAAGTACAATTCAATTGAAATCTAATATTTAGTAAAGAGATAAATCTAATTTACCTTTATTAACAAATATTATATTAACTAAAATGTTATCCATAAAATACAACTATAAGTGTCACTTATCATATCATATTTGATTTCATTTAGAATCAGTATCATTAATGATCTACAATAAATCAATTATATTTAATGATCAAACTTTTAATTAAATACTATTTTCTACAATCAAAATAGTATCGGAATAATCATCCTACTTTTTTTTTTGCAAACATAATTTCCTTTTTAATATTTGAAATTCTTGATAATGCAAAATTTATTATTATTTTAAAAATAATATTTTTTTTATATAATTTCGTACAAAAGATGGAAGCATAATCTATGTATATTTCGTAAATCTTTTTGTTGCAATTATTAAAAAAATCAAAAAATTCTAAATTTTAATTAATCAAAGGTTATTATCTCCAAAAATTCATTTATTATAAGCATTGCGAAGAATGTAATAATATAAATAGTATAATTGTAGATAAGTTTATAATAATTATTCTTATACTAAAACAGATATGATTAATCTTAGATAAAAATGCTTTTTTTTTCTTTTTTAAAAATAAGAATATCCAAATATAAGTAATAAAAAGGATTAATTTTGCTTGATTCTTATAATTCTTTATTTAAATTTTTGTTGATATTATTGAGAAACTTACTGAATTTTCAGTATCTTTTTCATCAATATTTGATATTATGTATGTAAATCCTTTGGCCTACTATGTTATCTGAATTCTAATAAAATATCAATCAATTAATATTGTTCTTATTATCCTAAAGTACATTTATCCTTTTTAAAAGACCATAAATTTATGAATTCATTATTGATATTCATCAAAATTTCTGAATTTTTATAAATGTTTAATGTTAAGTTGCATAGGTGGCTAATAGATTTTAATTGGAATCTTCTCAAGTTGTTTAAACTCTTTAACCTTTAAGCAAATCATTGAATATTAATTATAAATCTTTAAAAATATTAATTGCATTAGCAATTTGTCATATATTTATAATGAAAATTTCTTGTTTAAATCCAAAAATGATAATAAATGGTAAAAATAATTGTCTTAGAAATAAAAATAGTTTAATTAATTTATGATGATTGATCATTTTGATAAGATTAGGTATGATAAACAAAATTTATTGATATTTTAAAACTATATTAGGAAATTTTGTTTCATATATATATAGATGTAGTTTATTTATTAAAAAATTCTTCAGTTAAATAGACCTTCCTATTATTTTAATTATATTTGATAATTCTTATATTCAAGTCAACTTCTCTCAATCTAGAAACTCTGTCATTATTTCTTATATTTCTTGGTATTTATTAAGTATATATTGTAAATTTCAATTAATATAACTACCTTGCATTATTTATGATATTTTCATTATTACAAAATATTACATTTTATAATGAAATTAACAAAAATAGAGTTCAATCGAAATTTGTAATAATAAAAAAAAAATAATTCATGAATTTACCAATTAAAATATTTTCCTCTAAGGTTGATAATATATTGAGAAATCATAATACAACCCAAATTATTGAAAAGGGAGATTGTATTTTAATAGAAATGATTATTGTTTTCTTAGATTAAATGTTATTTACACATTCAGTCTAATTTTTTTAAATGTTTTACAGATAATTAACTAATTTTATGACTAGATCAATATTCTAAAAATCTTGAATAAAATAATAAAATAAATAATACTGTGAAGATTATAATCAAATGATAAAGTCATATATTGATCAGTCTTATTAATTCATTTGACACCTTTCAACCTGTTGTTGCCAAGCATATTTCTTTGATATCAGAAGCAAAAATTTATATTGAGATATTAAATGATTATTTATTAGTTTGTAATGTTAATAATTATATAAATAAAGCAAATATTAAAATATCGAATCATTATTACTTTCTTATCTAATAAAAAGCTTCAATTTTAATTATTTCAAGCTTTGAATGAACTGTATTTCCATTTCTATTAAATATTTCTATTTATCCAACATATTAATCTTTAAATTTTATAGCAATTACACTTTAAGCTAATGATTAAAATATTAGAGTTTTTATATTATTGTAAATGACATAAACCTCTAAATTATACCATCGTGTAAATTATAAGTCCCAAATTCTAAGCTTTAATGTATTCAATTCATAAGTTTAAATCAAATCAATTATAATTGATCCACCTTAATGGCAAGCATAATATCCTTGTGTCCAATCTGTATTATAGATTGAATCTCTCAAGCATAATGATTTTATCTATCCTTAATTAAAATAATTCATGATTCTTGAACTTATTAGAGCACCATTATTTAAATGCAACACATTTTTATAACCTCCTCGAACTATTGATTTCTTTATTTTTTCTTGAGTTTAGCAACATTCTCCAATCACAATTAATTTTAGTATTATGGCTATTACAAATTTCATTAATAGTTGTTATTAAAATAGAACATTTAGTTATATATATAAGGAATTAATTCTATAAACAAACTAACTGTGGGTGGTCTGATGAAGGAAATTTTTAACAAACAATACAATTATTGATAAATATATTTCATTCAAGGTGTCTACTTATGCTAGTTAGTTAAACCTATATAAATATACTATGGGAATTGTAAATAAAATTTAATCTTCTTTATTGTTTTATTTCTAGAAGTCTCCAATACTTTTATTCCAATATAATAATAAAATTAAGTTTAATTATTTTTTTTATTTTTCTGGATTGTGCTACTTGATCTCTTATGATTATCAAAAGTCTAATAGAATCAACTTCGAATATTGTGAATAAAAGAAAAAATTATACCAATATTTCGTAGAATTCAATAAGGTTTAAAAATATTCAAATTGATAAAATATAAAACATTTTAATTATTGTAGAGTTAAATAAAAATGAAAAATATTTAATAAAAAGTCAATATAATCATTCAAGCTTTTTTTAATGAAATATTCTATAACAAATAGATCAAGAGTAAATTAAAGTAATTTTTTTAAAAGAATTTATTAATGATTATATTCATAATTACTTTGTCATTTAACTTGTATATTAATTTTAATATGAAGTATATGTAATAGTATTACTCTATAGTTAATTTTTGTATTAATTAACAATTCATTATTGTAATCACTTTTTGAGTTCTATTAACTCCCAGTTCAAGTTATTTCTTTAATTTGATTTTAATATAATATTTTACTTTTGAGAATATATATTGCTTAATAAATAATATAATTTTATTAAATGACATAAGAAATAAACTGTATATTTAATCAAATCTCTGATTAATTGACTTTTCTAATAATAAATTTATAATTTGTACTATCATTAATATTGATTTATAATTCTTTATAATTAAAGGATTTATGCTTTAATAAGTGATTACATATTTTTTATTTTAAAATAATACACTAAAAATGCAAAAGTATTGCTTTGAGATTACTTAAAAGGTATCTTGTGATAATCATATATGAAATTAATGATCATTGTATTCTCAAAAAGTGATTATGTTTAAAAGAATGGACGTTCTAATTCTAATGATTTATCTGGCAGATTATTATTGTATATAAATATTATATTTTAAAGGATCAATTAAGAATTAGTCATCCTTCTTCATAACATTTTAAAATAGGAGAATCACAATTTTATCAATAAACGAGTAAGAACCTTATAAAATTCTTTTATTTTTCCAGTCAATAAGTCCAATTCACATTTTATAAATTCCTACATAACCAAATATTGTCAGTATTAAAATTGTCACAATGAACAAAAGATGTCTTTTGACCATTAAATTACACTTTGATTACTATAAAATTGCAGTTTCTATAGGATTATCTGGAATAAAGGAGTTAGAAGTTATTTATTGAAATTCAGAAAATTAAATTCATGTGGTTATTCTGATTGGGAATCAAGATTGATTTTGGAGACAATTATGGATTAATTTCTGAATTCAATCTCAAATAAATAATTGCTAAAAAGTTGTGCTAATTTATGAGTTGGCAAATAGATAGGGTCTAGAAATAAATTTTATATTATATTAAATTATATAAATTTGATGATTCAACTTATACTTCACACTATCAATTAAATGAATTTATCTGGTCTATGGAAGCAAACAGGTGATGAATTGATAGGATTGTAACTCATATAATGAGTTGAGTTATCCTTCATCTTATTTGCTCTAAAGAAATTGGCATATATGGGTTAGGTAAACATAGAAATGGGCAATTCTATATGAGCATTCCATGCAGTTGGTGTGAAAAATTCAGCAAAATAGGATATCTCGTCACATTATCTATAAGTGGTTATTATATTGGAGCAATTTTCATTAGGATTGATTTTAGTTGAATACGCCAAAGCTCCATTTGGTGAGACATCAATTACGTAATATTCTTTCTTAGTCCCTATGTAAAATTCATCTACATCATGTTTATATAATTGGTCATTACACTCATTCAAAGGAGCATCAATGAATTGAAAAGAGATTGTACGAATCAACATTGAAATAGTCAATGACTAGTTTATTATTCAGAAACTTGTAAATTGTGAAATAAGTGAATTCTACATTTTCTTTGGTAGCTTCATTTTGATGACCTATATTGTATTATGTTGGTCCCCATTTGCAATTTTCAACAATGATAGGATCAATTACAGCATTTAAAATGACAATGAATATGGCAAATATTAATATCATATAATTTAAATAATAATTTTAAAAGATTGTTAATTTATTATTTTTAAATTTAATTTTCTTATTGATATTTTTTCCATTTAATCTTGATGGTTGGATAGTTTGCCATCATCTGTTTTAGAGATTAAAATAGGAGAAATAAGATTTAAGAATTGAATTAAATTTCCTTGATGTATTTGTAAAATATTCTTTTGTAATTAATATATATTATATTGATTTGTATATTTTATTATGCAAGACATTATAATTAAGATGATAATTTAGCAATTTCTGAAATTATGAAGTATGAATATGCGCAATCATGTAATTAATTCTTAACCTTTTAATACAATTATATAAGGATGCCTAGTAAAATTTGGTGTGAGAGGTTAATTAAATAGTATGAAAGCTTTCTTATAAGTCTTAACTGTGATTATAAACGTACCATTATTTAATTTTTTCAAACTTTAAATATATAATTTATTATTGATATTATTTTTTTGTAATAAAAGTTCATTTATTTATATCAAATTCTATGAGAGTAAACACTAATAATTCAAATTAATAGGGTCAATATCCACTATTAAGGTTATTCCTATCTGAAGAATAGATTTTTTGATTTGAATTTGTTAACAATAATTTTTTCATGCTCCAATATTACTTCTGTTTATTGGATGATGTTTTGTTTTTTTTTAATTGACTTGTTCCTCCTCCATTCTCTGATCCATCGCTTCATCATCCTAAGAATCTTATGATATTTTCCCCCTTATATACTTCATATATATTGTTTTCAATTACTTCTCATGACTCTTAATTTTCTGATGTCTTTTTGGTGAAATTGCAATAGTTCTAAGTGTGATTTGATAAGCCAATATTATGTGGATCATGATTCTCATCGACTATGACATGGTAAAAATATTATTGATGTAATATTATTGCATGAAATAAACGAGTTGAAAAACCTGTTAAGAAGAGCTAAATTGTGTTGCGTGATGAGGTATTTTTCTAAATTCTCTTACAAAAATTTTATGAGATCAGATGCCAATAAAGTTTACTTATCCAAACATCTTCCATCTACCTACTCAAAATAATTTATATTTTATAATTTAGTAAGGTAGGGAAAAATGAAATGATTTTGATTAAAATATATTTATTTATAATTAATATTTATTGATCAATCCTGCTTAAATGAATTAGAAACAGAGATTCAATTTTAAGTTACTACAAAATTGACTTTCTAAAATATCATTAGTGAGTTGCTGAGAAACAGATTTAACTTTAACAATTATAAAGCCAATATTCACGTGTTTTTTTATTAATCCAAAGAATCTCAATAATTATCTAATAAATCTTGTTTAATTCTAGCAAAACTTTGATTATTATAGTTATTTAATTTTACAACAAATATTTATTGGATATATAAAATCAATTAGGCAAATCTTTAAGTATAGGAAAGATTTTAATAATTAGAATCAAATTTGTTACTCATCATTATAAAGTACATAAGAAAATGAACAATAAGAGACTAAAGAAATTCACAAAAAAATGTGATATCAAATTGATTCCTATTCCCCAAATCCTAATTTATAACACATAGATTAGAAGTTTTAAAAAGTACTTGTAATAAATCTTATTATAAAAGGACTTATTCATAATGTATAGAAAAATTCATTTCATAATTTCTATGTTTTCTAAATAAGATTTCTTAATAAGATAATTTGGGGTTAAAATTGTAAATTTTACCATATGAGTTTTAATCAACATCAGCAACTTATTTGAAAGTTTTCTAAATTGTTTTCATTTAAAATAAAAAAATTTACATTGATATCAGAAATTTTTCATTATTTCTAAGGATTTATTTTGTATTATTATCCAAAAATTATGAGAATTATGGGGAATGATTTTTCCAGATTAACCCATAGATCAAAATCTTTCCATTACAATTATTATAAGTTATAAATATTTCAAATGTTAAGATCGTCAAAAAACCACATTAAATTCAATTAAATTGAAGTCATTCTTTCTTGCAGTGCAATCATAAGCCTAATTTAATTTCTATAAGATTCAATAAAATTTCTTCAATTTATATACAATTAACTGACAATGAAGATTTCCTAAATATTATCTCAAAAAATATGTTAAGCTCACTTTAGATACAAAAATCCTATATTTAATTTAATTAAACAAAACAAAATTATTCTATTTATTCATACTTTTTAATATGGGTTGTTAGTGATGAGACCTATTTATATCATTAAAGAAGGTTTTAAGATGTATTTCATTTTTTTTGCTCATCATTTATAATCAGTGATTATCCAAAAATTTAATGTAGTGGTGCTTTTGGTTTTATAATTAGTACTAGTCCTTAAAAGAAATGACATAAGCATTGAATCTAACTGTAGGAATCTTTTATTAGTATTTTGTAAAATTTGGGCATTTTTTGATGTTATTTTTTTTTAAATAATAAAGATCATTTATCTTGTCTTTACGATCGAAAAAAAGTATAATCGTATGTTATCATATGATTATATTAACATAATGCTTAAAGGAAAAACCTAGATGTATAGGAAAGTTTGCAACAACTACACTCTCAAATCTGTAGAAATATTACAATTTATACCTTTATTGCTATAGTAAATTAGTAGAAGGAATAAGAGAAATACAAAGAAGATCAACCTTACTTGGGCTCAATTTCTTAATTAAATTAAAATTTATAAGTTATTTTTATTTAGATTCTAATATTTCATGCAAGTTTAAAAATGAATTTGCTTTTCAAAGAAATTAGCATCCTTAGAAAAATATATCTATTTAAAGTAAATTAAATTCATATATCATCAATATCTATTTAAAATTGTAGATATTTATAATCAAATCACATTAATTTTAAATACTTCCTATCATTTTAGCACATTATGTAAATACTAGGTTTTGTCTGAATATCTTGATATATAAATATTAATCAGAATAAATAGATATTATTTGTTTTATAATTTTATGCACTATTTATTAATAATAATCATGAAAACAATGGATTATTCAGAATTTTTTAAATTATGCTATTTTTCTTTATCAATTTTTATAATAAATTTTTGCTGACCCAAATTAATTCTATAATAATACCTTTAGATAGTATTATTGCTTAAATCCATCCCAATAAAATTTTTTTCTCTTCATTAAAATATTTATTAAACTCTTAGATGTATAAGAATGAACTAAGGATAAAAGTTAATACTGATATCTCAACCACCATTTAAACAATATAATTTTTTTAATTAAAAATACAACGATAATTAAATATGAATCCAATCTAAAGTATGCTTGTAATAAGGAGTAATTATAATTAAAGTATTTGGGAACTTTAAACATAAATCAAAAATAATAAAAAGAAAAATTATCTACAAAGATTTAATATTTCAAACATTTAGTAGGTGTTTTTCTTTGATAATTTTGATTTACCTTTGAAAAAATTTAGGAAAATGGTAAAATAAAGAATAAGTATGATGCTTGCGATAATAATTTATACAATATCTAAGTAATTTTTGTTTTACATGTTTCGTGTATACAATAATGTTTTAAATATCATATCCCAACCATTAAGAAATAAGACTTTTTATAATCCTTAAAAAGACATAAATCTTTTTAATTTAAGTAATTCCATGCAAATGTTATAAAAGGATTAACTAAACTGAAAAATTACTTTTGGATTAATATATAATGATAATGATGACATATAGTAAAAGTACCTTGAACAAAATATCCATTTGTACAAAACCTTTTTAATCCATTGAAATAATAAAATAAAGAATAAAAATATTAACAACTAAAATATTTGGCATGAAAGGTTGATGATCAAGTTAGAGCTTTATTTGTACACATTAAATTTTCCATCAGAATATTCTTAATTTTACTAGATTTCAATAAACTTAAAAAAATTAGGAAAATACATAAAATCCAGTAGAGGTTGAATAGTTATCATATCATTAAAAGTAAAATAAATCTCTAGATTTTCTGGATATTACAAGTTAATGTATCTTAAGTATTGCTAGAATTAAAGAATTGCCATAATTTCAACAAACAAATCCCCATTTCCTAATATTAGACTTAAGCCAGTAACTCCAGACAAACTATAAATTACATATTTATTAAGATTTTTCAAATTTTAAGAATAGTCCTTCTGTTTCTCATCAAGAAATTTTGGATATTGCAATGTTATTGATTTTTCAACATTATACAAAATAGCATCATCTATATTAGCAACAGTCTAATTTACTTTAATTTTCAAGACTGGCCTAAATTCAAGTAATTATTATATTTCTATTTAAACAATAAATTCTCCAAAACTTACATCTGATCCCACATCCTATATAATATATAAGCTGCTATTCCAGTTCTTCTAATCTATATTTGATATTTCAAAATTTATTGTTTCTGATAAGGGCTAAGCTGTATAAATTTTTACTTTTTAATTAAATTAAATGCTTATATACTATTTATTTTAAGTCATATTGAGATAATTAATTTCTAAGTTTGGAGCTTTGACAAATGTGCATTAGCTCAGGGAATCTCTTGTCATTGTAATACATATCCAATTTAATTCAATAAAACAATCCTTGCATCCATCAGCTGCTTAATAATTTCCATCATCACAATCTTCTTATTCTTAAAGTAATCCATCTCCACAATTTAATTACTATTTGCATTAATTTGAAATTAGTAATTAGTATTGGTAATTACACTCTAAACAAGTACCTTAATAGCAATCAAAGCAATTTTCCGGACAAGAATACTTGCAATTAAAACAACCATCATAGGGTTCCAAATTACCATCATCGCAATCCTCTTCTTTTGTAATAATTTGATCACCACAAACAGAAAGACAACTGTTATTGACAAATTCATACCCATTTTCACATTTTAATATGCATTATCCTCTTTCACAAATGTTGCAATCTTCAATGCATTGAAATTTGCAATTAAAACAACCATCATAAGGTTGCAAATTACCATCATCACAATCCTCATATTAATCAAGAATTAATTTATCTCCACAAAAAGGTAAGCACATATTTTCTTAGATTTAAAATCCAATTTCACATTCTAAGCAAATTGTAAAGTAGTTTGATTTACAATTTTCAATTGATATAAATCGGCATTCTTAACAATCATCCCATACCCCATTAACTCCCAGTTCACATTATTCAGTTGAATAAGGAATTAAATTACTATCCCCACATAAAGGCTCACAATTAAAATTAGCATTAATAATAAATCCATCTTAACATTATAAACAAATTCCAAATTAGCAAATTAAACAAAATTGTTAACATGAATATTTACATAAATAACAAGAATGATTTGATATTAGATTACCATCATCACATTGTTCTTAACCTTGAATTATTCCATCACCACAAATTGGATGACAATTTTCTAGAAATTCATCTTAAATCCAACCTTCTTAACAAATTAAACATTTATCATCTAATTACCTTCATTCAACTTATTAAAAATTATTTCTGCTTAAGTGTAAAATACTTCAAAGTCTCTTATTAAACTATATTATAAAATTAGTATAGTTTTAATATTTAATAATAATATAGGATCATTATGATTTCTTATTAATATTTCTACTTATTAATTGCCAGAACTAGTTGTATATTTACCATATAAAAAGTCTACTATTATTATTGTACCCTATATTTTAAAAAATCTTATTAATACATCTTAATGAGGAGGTAATTAAGTAGAATATTTAAGTTCTTTAAATCTCAAAAATTAACAATTTCCACATTTGAAATAAGTATAATAATTAGAAGATGATAAAAAAGTCCATCCATCAGAGTTTGTGATTAATTTCTAATTAAAAGAATATTAATGCAGTTTCCATTATAAGTAGATTGTACGATAATTCTCTATGCATCCAGCACATTCATACTAACATTTAATAATACTTAATCTTAATGATATTAATCCTCCTCCAAGATAGTTAGCCCATATCCAAACAGTTCTTCTATTATGTTAAAGAGTTATAGAAATAGTATATACATTTTCGAGTTGCGTATTACCACAAATTTAAGATGATATCGCTGATTAATGACTGATAGATTTTTCATCTATTAAAAATTAATATGAAGGTGAATAATTGTCATCAATCCTTTTGTTATAATGAAAATAATTACCTAAGAAATTCTGCATCCACAATAATATGAGAATGAGATTCTAGATCTAAAAATATTCTGCTAATATCACTCCAACTACTTGTACTAGATTTCCCAAAATATTGAATCCCTCCACAAGTATTGAAATTAACATTATTAAAATAATCTTGCCATTCTAAAATTAAATAAAAGAAATTACAATCTCTTATGGTAGAATTTGCATGAAACTAATAAATGAGAGTTTGATGAGTTGTTTACAATAAAACAATGAGTAGCATCATTAGAAAATAATTTAAATAATACAATTATGAGTTTTAATAAAATGCACATAATTTCAGATTAAGTTCCTAGTATTCAAATTTATCCAAACAGATAAATTGAACAATAATGATTCATAATTAAATTCATTATTCTTATTATTCATTATTATTTATATATATTTATACAAATATTTTATGATAAATAAGAAATATCCAAAATAAAATGAGAATATGATTAAGAGTAAACCTAAATATATATCAAAAATAAATATATTTAAAGAAAGCCATAAAATAGATAGACTTTTTGCCAATTTCTTTGTATTATCAATTCTTGAAAAAAAAAATAAATCCCTTAGATTTAATAAATAAAAATGTATAAATGATGTTTTATTTATTTTTATGTATTTTATAATAATTATGCAAAGTACATAAAGGATCGAATAATTAGTTGAACCTGCTATTATAAATTATTTAAAAGGGAAAAAGTAGCTTCATAGCTATAGATGGAAATCCGAATGATTGTTGAAGCTGACAGTATTAATTGAAATTATCTTTTATGTTTTTTTGCATAATCCTATAAATGAATAAATTGATAATGTCATTCTAATTATAAATAGATGAAATAATGATCAATAACAAATTTATTAAGGATCTAAGTTATATTTCTTGAATTTATACACCTCTATTTCATCAATATTCTACCACATAAAATATATAATATTACCAATAAATTAAAGCATTAATTATATGTGATGGTTTATTTGAAAATTATAGAGGCATTTACAAAATAATTAATTGCTATACAATAGCAAATTTCATAATCATTCATTTAGAGCTTATAATAGAGTTTATTTAATAGTAATTTTTAAATTGTTTTTGAGTAGATTCGTCTTTCAATTGAATTCAAAAAAATTAAAGTTATTTTTTAGTAATGCTCTTTTAATCAGAATTTATAGAAATGGAAGCTTGTTTACTGATTTTCATAAATATTATGTAAAAGTATTTAGTATAAATAATTCTTTAATCCGTCTATCCTCAAATATAGTCATGCTTCAAAATTTATTAATTAAATAGTAGCTATTATGTCATCATTTCAGTTAATCGGCTAATATAAGAACCATTTTAAATAAATTTTAGTAACAGGAACAATTCTTATTTTCAAAAATAATGGATCTAATATTTAATAAAAATATAAAAATTTCATAATCACTAAGAATAGATAATCAAATCTTCCTTAGATCAATGTGTTATTTTTATATAATTTAGTTAAATCTGATTAAATATTTATATGATATTTTATACATTCATTTCAACCAATGTATGCAATAAGTAACTGGCAACTACCTCTCCATGAAATGAAGTAATATTATTTTATGCATCATAAATTAAATTAAATGTCTTAGAAAGGCCAATCGGCCACTTCTGCTCAGGGGCAGGAATTCAAAGGCAGTAATAGGATTAGTGACATGACTAGGTTCATGTACAACAACCATTTGGACTAATATGTTCGATGAAATTTTTAGAAGCTTCATGCGATCACTGAACTGAACTAAAACTAATATCATTTTCATAAATGAAATGAGAAAGACCTCATACCCCATCTAACCAACTTAGAAGGGCTTTCAGGATTCCCCAGCTTTATAATGGCTAAGGTATCCCTAGAGTTTGTTTCCTAAATCAGCCACACAACATCAATTTAAAGTTTCACGAATTCAAACTATTGCTATTAAAATAGAAAGAATGTCAAATTCTAATATTTCTTTTTGATAATCAAAAAAGAAAAAAATAAAGAAAAGCGTTATGTAAATTAATATTTTATTAACCAATGTGTTACCTGTATTTTCTTTTATGATATCTTTTCAAAATAAATTTTTTGATTTTCTAGAGACTAAATAACTATCTATGCAAATATCATTAAATAATGGGTATCCTGTCTAAGATTTTTCTCATCATAGGATTAAATTCCAACTCAAAATTCATATTTAGATATCTAAAGCATTATTATAAACTACGCCAAAGAAATTAACCCCTTATATTAAGGTATAATCAATAATGAGATGAATATGAGTGATTTAGTTCCTAAAAGATCTAGACTTTCGTTTTCATCAATCACTAAACTGCTAACTAGGCCTTACAAAAAGAGATTAAATGATCATTGACATCTTTGATCTTGATTAAAGTAATTCAAGTGGTTTTTGGGATTAGAAATCATGAATTAGTTGATAGGCCAATCTTTAATAGATTATAGAAGAAAGACAAGTAGCTATCTTAATATTATTTATTTGAACTTGCAAGTTTAACAAAATAAATCCACAGTATATTACTATTAAAAACTTGATGTGGTATAATAACATATTTTTGAAATACTAGAACAAAAGACTAAGAAATTTTATGTTTTGATTTTAAGAAACTGGGTACTATTTATTTTTTTTTTCAAAGAGGCTTTTTCCCTATATTGCCTAAATCCAGCAAGTTTTTTCATTTTTGAGAAGTATTATGGAGACCCAAGTTAATTACTGATTCTTCTTCATTTAGTAGTAAAGCTTAATTTTTTTTTAAACTTTTCAGAGTGAGGAGAGATTATATCATTATTAAATTCCTTCTTTTTTAATCAATCCAGATGGGGATTACTATTCATGTTAATCCCATTTATCTAATTCGACATTTTCAAATCCAAATTAACATTTTTTTTTTCTTTCATTTTGTAGTGATTCTAAATGAATGTCATTAAGGTTTTTATAATAATAAGTCTGGCTGTAACTAAGCTTTTTTTTGAGTTTAATGAATTAAAATGGCTAAGAAAGGAATTTTTATATTTTGGTTGTTTATTGAAACTTTTGATTAATTATTTTAACGCCTAATTTGGATTATATAGGAGTAAAATGGAGTAACTATATAAATTAATAATATAATTTTGATCTTCTGACAAAATATAATTCGACTTATATCTGAAAATTTATTTGGGATTTATGTTATCTTTATTATTTAATAAATTAGAATTTCAATAATGTTTAGTCTAAAACTGACTCTAACATAAAGGTGGATTATTAGATTTGGATTATTAAAATCAATTAAACTATTCTGCATTATGAATTGATTGAAATCTTTATAAAAATAAGACCGAAAGAATGCTTTGCAAATAAAATTTACTTTAATTTATTGTTAGGAAATTAAAATGTATTTTTTTGATTTTTCTTCATTTTGAGGTAGAAGAAAGAGTTTTTGAATAAAAATTAATATATATATTTGAATATTTTTATATAGGTTCTTATTTTTGGTGAAAAGATAACAAATGCATCTCAAAGAAAGATATATGGCTCATAATTGGGATTCACTTTAACAAGTACTAAAAAAGGGAATCAAAAGGAGAATTAGAAAATTAATTCTTTATATCAAAGGATATGATTGACTGAAAATATTGTAATCAGTTAGAAGTTTATATATAGAAAAAAAAAGATATGTAATTATGATTTAATAAAGAGTCGCGAGGAATTATAAGAATAAAACATAGAAATGGTAAATTGAAAGGATAAAAAATTTTTAGATGGGATATTTAGGATAGGTAACACAGCATTAAAAATTAAGAATAAATACAATAGCAGCATGGATCAAATAATAAAGATGATGAAAATATACAATTTTTCTGATCATTTGAGAAATATGATTTCATTTGAAGAGTGAACTCTTTATAAAAAAATTCTTGAAAGTATCAAATTTTTTAAGGGGTCCTTATAATTTCTCCAAATCTTTCAGAATCCCTAAGTGGGCAAACCGCATGAACATGCCACTGCTACGCATATCCAATTTAACTGAGCTTATCTAAAACTTAGGATCATTTTTGACTCTATCCCCTTTATGCTAATTTCTCACTTGTCTTTGTGCATAAGCAGCCTCTCAGGTATTGAGCTTAGTAGACTCAAGGATCATACTTTTATCTATGCTGTACACAGACATTACACGGAAGCAAAAACCTGATCTTGACATAGAATTGGTAATCATATCCCATCATCTTCTGCTCATATTCAATCAGTAGATCAAGATGCAAACTAGGGATTTGAGGTTCCTCCTAGTAAGATTTAGGAGAGATGGATTCGATCACTTGACCAAGTTGAAATTTTCTAATTTTATTGTTTACATATTTAATTATAAATCAAGGATTAAAAAAATGTCTTTATTTTTATACTAAAACAATTCCGACTATTTATATAAATAAATAATTGTCGTTTGAATTATTAACATTATAATTTTAAGAATTTTTAAATTCATAGAGTATTTCATCGAAATGAATCAGAATCTAATTGGTGATTATCCTTAATTATTTTTCATGATAGATGGATAATAATTTAGAGAAGTATTAATTTACAAGTAATTTTGTTTCTTCTCTATTTTGCATTTAAGAATGGGATTTAATAACTTAATCTAGAAGAACCATGTGCTATTATTAAAAATAAATTAAACAACTAGAAAATTAAATATAAGATTTATAATTTAATTATTCAACTACTTCAAAGAATGCATTTAATCAAATATCTATTTGAATTAGATATCATTAACAAATTTAAAATAGATGCATTAAATTAGATATTTGTTTCAAAATAGATATATAGTGTCTCTAAACTTAGAATTAGATCCATTAAAGAGAGCATCCTTATATTTTGATTTTAGATTCAAAAAAAAAGTCAAGAGTATCAAATAATGACTGGATATATATTTTAAATATCAATATTTATTTGATGTATAAATACAATTTAACTCATTTATAAATAAAATTAAAGACTTTTAAATATTATAAATTCTTTATAGATAATATATTAAAATATTCTATTAAATAATAAATCAAAATTTAATGAATAATATTCAATATTTATAATTGCTATATTTCTATTACTACTTTAATCTAAACCTTCTTATAAGAAAATATAAAATAATTAAAACAAAAACTAGACCCGATATTATCCAAATAGTATATGTGTCTATATTTATTTGTTATGCTTAAGGTACTTCAATAGATACCTTAAGTT